ATTCCATATTCTTTAGTGCGGTTAAAACCGTCAGAGGCACCAAATATTCCTCAATACGGCGCACATCCACCCAGGCTCATATCACCAGTGGGCCCAAAAATATGGATTGATAAGCAAAAAAGTTTTTCTCTAAAACCATGTTTTTAACTGATCATAACCCCTTTCAAAATTTGTTGGTGTGAATGACAAATAGCCTTTCTTGTAGCCGCAAGCCAGTAGTACAAAAAAGTATTTGCGAAAGGGAAAAAAATTGATATTCAAAATTGACTTCTTTTTTCGACATTTTTTCGTAGGCCTCAAACCCCAAAACAGGGAGATTTTTGATTTTCTGTGTACTAAACAGCTTCCACACTTCTGCAAAAACTGTCAACAGGAGGCCCACCCTTACGCTTACAGAAATAAGCAAAGATTTGGCGATTGCCCTCTTCAAAAGAAATCTATGGGCCACAGAATGGCCAAAATCACTACTCATGTTGAGGCGCCAAAATCTCAATCTAGGTTACTTTTAAGAAAACAGTAAAGTGTGCATAATGTAGACAATTTCTATTACCTAACCATATTAAAATTTTCAGAAGAATGCCTTTATTCGCGCTCTTGAATTATGGCCAAAATAAGTGCAATGAAATTCTGGTTTCGAATGCGGTTGTATGGAGCATGAAAGGTGCTTCTTGAAAGTGTAAGTTTTTTCCCAATGAAAGTTAGAGAAACGTTGTCATGAAACAAAGGTGAGAAAAACGCGCATTACTTTTACACCAACCTGATACCTGTTAGCTTTAACGCCGACATGTTGCCAACATTAGCCAGGCGGTTCGCTAATCAGGAGCGCAGAGCATAGATAGCAGCCATAGTTGTAACAAAAGGAAACTTTCATCGAATGAAGAATATCGAATAATTGAATTCTGAAAAATTTTCGAACAAATGATTATCGAAAATTTGATTTTCGAAAGATTTCAAATGAATGAATATCACTCTATTTCCGATTTTCATATTCTTCGAATTCGAATAATCGAATACTGGCACATTCAAAAAACTTTCAAATGTTTGAATAACCGAACTTGATCGAAGATTTGATTACTCGAATGCGATATTCGAATAATCGACGCATTGTTCGAATATTCGAATATTCAAACAGCTAAGTTTCGAAACTTCACGAATATTCGATATTCAGATGTGTCTTCTAATCTCGATTCCGAATGTTCGCGAAAGTCATTTTTTCAAGTAGTCGAATGAACGTATTCCAATACAGGCCTTTTCCATTTATTTGATCCTTTTAATAATTGAATGAATGTTTCGAATAAATCGAATATTTGGTATGGATATTTGGTTCCAACTACATCGGCCGCTATTGTAGAATGGATGATAACAGGTTGGAATATCATTGCCAAGATCGAAGATCTTCGAGATTTCTTTCAAAGTACTAAGAATAATTGAAAGGCAAAGAATTCGACATTCTTAAACCTCTGCGGGCTTGCACCAAACGCATTCTACACCTATTAGGAAAGGCATTAAATACTTGCAAACCTGGAAAAACAAAATGGGTCATACGATCACTAAGCCAGTAATTTGATTCTTCCAGTTTACTTTGCTATCCTACCGTTCACAACAGGTAGAGACCCTGGTTAGTCCAGGGAATCCGTTGATTTGATTGACTCTAACAACACCTCTAAACTGAAGCATTAAGAAAATTAAAGGCAGTGTCCGGGCAAAAAGTCGATTTGGGATTCTGTGCTTACCCGGTCCTAATCACTATGCTGATTCCGAAAATCCACATTGGAAAGCGCGAAAACGGCGAAAAATGGCTGTAACGCAGGAGAGAAATCAGAAGTGGGCGGGGTCTTCCCCACTGCGTATTCACGCTCCAGCTTCCGGAGCGATCTTCTCGGTCCCGATTCCAAGTCATGCATTTGCACCTGGCCTGTGGAGATCTCAGGGTGCTAGCGGAATTGAGAAGATCGCTTCAGAAGCTGGGATCGCGAAATTCACAGTGGGAAAGACCCCGCCCACTTCTGATTTCCCTCTTGCGTTAGAGCCCTTTTTCGCCGTTTACGCTCTCCAATGTGGATTTTCGGAATCAGCATAGTGATTAGGACCGGGTAAGCACAAAATCTCAAAATCGACTTTTTGCCCGGACACTGCCTTTAAGGTAGCTTAGTTATCAGAATAGCATATGCAAATGAGCCGTAAACTAGCAACTTGTAAGTCTCAGAAAGATGAAAAAACTTTTGAAAGTTTCCATTTTTGAGACGATTTCAAATTTGTTTAAATTGTGATTGAAAAAATATCTTCGATAGATGAGTCGTCCTTATCTTATCTTCATCCCTTCTTACTAAAACGTTCCAGAGATGGCTTAGATACAAAGCAACATTCCGCTCTAAGAAAGAAAACGAAACGGAGATGACATAATAATAAACATATACATAATCATTACTACTAGATTACTACACAAGATACACTGAAGACAATGCTTATGATATGTGCAAAATCCCAAATGGCGCAGCTCTCAGATCCCGATCTTCTTCACTTCCATTCTGCTACGGTAAATTACAACCATTTGCAAAACCATCGACCAACGATACTGTTACAAATTACAACCACGCTTGACCTGCTGGAAGAAGGGATGCACTCTGCTGATAAATCCTCGTAGTTTAACGAGACGCGTGCTGATATATTATAATTTTGCCTTACAGATCCCACAAAACTCGACTTCTTTAACCCGGGAACTGTCCAATCATCCAAATCAAAAAGAGGGGCCTTGGTTGTCTTCGCCTTTTTCGCCCTCTCAAAAGCAAATTTTCAACCAACTTATCGTGATAACGTTAAGGTAACCTTGAAATTCTTAAAGGCGGTGCCTCGGCAAATCTCAATCTACCTTAATTTCACGCATATAAGGCGCACTTTCGATTTTTCAAACGAGCCTTTCAGCCGCTTTACTGTATTCCAGAAAGAGATCCTTATACCGCACGATTCTCTTAAATATACACCACGTTAAAGGGTGGGTCGTCTGCTTGTGAAATCCTTTGGCGTGTCTGGGCTAGTCGATTTTGGAAAAAATTCCCCGCGCCTTATACTCGTGAAATTAGGGTAATCAAATTTTTGCTTACCTGGGGTTATCCAATGCGCTGATGCCGAAAATCCACTTGCTTAAGACTGCGAAAAACGAGCGTTCAATGCACTTCGCTCTGAAATTTGGACGAGCGGAGGAAGGCGACAGGCACGAGGAAGGCTGTTGACGCTGAATCGTTGTGGGACCACTGATTATAGCAGCCTCCAATGTTGAGAAGGAAATTGCCAACCCGTCCGGGCGCGTGTAAGTTTGAGAGCAACTTTCTCGGCGGGGAAGGCATGCTGTGCGACCGGGATTGCACGGTTTTTATACTAGGGCGATAAGTAAAATCCTGAGTTGTTAAGTTTTGCCGATCCACAGCCTTTAAGCCACGGTTTTGAAAGCCCTCTCGTTAATTCTTCCCCTGCAATGCTGACCCAACCTCATCTTTTGGTTGCACACCGCTGTGGTTGAAACACCATCACATTCAGGTAAAATACTCGAGTAAAAGATCCCATATCTGAAATTCCAATTTCTTCTGAAAAAAACAGTATTATAGGATTAACTGATAAACGTGAAAAACGTGAAGTAGTTGATAATGGTACGCGATAAGAGTGAAAAAAAAGCGCAGCTGCCTTACTTGATATGTTTACTAAAATCTGAAAACTAGTTTTCGCACTTTTCACAGAATTCTACTGGTATGTCTTCCTACCCAAACAATGTATGTTTGCAGAACTCAAATTTGAATTGAGATAATCTTTCCAATACAATTATCCTGACTGCAATTAGAACTTTGCAAAGGCAAAACTTCAATTCACGCATACTTTCGCATATTTGCACCTGTACATCATTCAGCCCAAAACAGCCAGGCGATTTTTTGGGATTTCACTTTAGGCAAGCATGACTCACTATGGACTTCAATGGGATAGCGCAAACTCTTCTCAGTCGTTTGGGTATTTGTGCCAAAAAGCCGCAATCAATGAAGTACTCAATTTCTTGATTATTCAGAATGGGCAAAAAATGAAGTTTGAGGGTTTTCTCTGAAAAGTAAGAGAATTCCACCGACTCTATCATTACATATACTAAGAAGGGAACCAGGTTTAGTCGAAGTGGCCTCAATGGGATGTATACCATATCAGAGAACATAAACCGCTGATTCCCAATCTGCCTTCCTTATCTGCGAAACATTTATGAACTAGGAGTTGTGAGCTTTTATTGGAGCAAAAATCACATGTGCAAATAGGACAAAAAGCTGAATGACAAATAGTACAAAAATATCAACGTTGTGATATTTTTCTAACGCTTGATGTAACATGATAATTTTCAAAGCAACTTATTCAATGAATACTCTCACATACCACAACTGGTTACTCTATTTAGAAGATTTTAGTTTTCCTAAATTCACATTAATTTTTTGCTCTAATAAACGCTCATAACTCCGTCCACAGATGTTCCGCAGATAAGGGAAGCAGATTTGGAATCAGCGTTTGATGCTCTTTAATATGATGTACATCCCATCTAAAAAGGTCATTTTGACTAAATAGGTGACCTTCTAAATCTACTCTTGCTGTAAAATGCAAAAAGTTTAAAAAATCTACCATTGCTGTAAACTACGGAATTTGTGCAATCGCTTCTTGCTCATAGTTTTTATGCGTCACAGAAGTGTTAAAGTGACCGCAAAATTTAAGTAGAAATTTTCCCATTCTCTTATAATAAACTTTCTTAAAAAGCATTTTGCGATGGTTCGCAATGGTTATGCATTTTTCCATGAATCTCGGTTTCTCATTTCTTTGGACTGATAGGAGCGATAGTGAGAAAAAAACGAAAAATCCAGAACTATCATATCATATAGAGCACACATTACGACTTCATATTCTGCATTTTCCACATTTTTTCAAAATTAATTTTTTTCAGAGTGTCATTTTTCTGGCTGCATTGACCGTAAAAACAAATTTCAGTTTAAATGTGGTTGCTGTTTCTAACAATACCCTTGTTTAATTGTGTCACATATGCCAAATATCAAGTGCCATTGCGGAGATTCGTGCCAGAAAAATTCAAAATGATGAAAGCTGGAACTTGGACCAAATTCATTGAGGAAGCCAGGTTGAAATCTAATTACGATCAAGATGTATGTTTCACCTTCTCCCGGACATTATGGAATATATTTTCACTTAAGATATACGGCTATTACGACAACGAATATCTGGCAGATATAACCATTGGTGAACCTCAACAAGAGTTTCGAGTATGTCCGTAGGTCTGTAGAGTGGTTCAAATTCAGCGTCTTTCGTTCCATTTCAGGTGATGCTTGACACTGGAGGAGCAAACTTTTGGATAATAGATCAATCCTGCAATAGCGATCCTGCTCGCCCAGAACAATGCTCTAAGCCGAATTGTGACATTGGGGGTGACTTTACGAAAAATTTGTTATTCCTAAAAATCTGCATAATAGGCGTGAGAAATGGTAAAAAATAATGAAGTTTGATAATAAATGAAGAATTTTCTTACTTTAGTTGAACGAGATATAGTACAGGTATGACGCTTCGTCTCCGTCTATAGTTGTCATCGCCGTGCAAAATGTCGATCGACCAATAAAGTGCTAGTCCACGTTGGTTGCGACACGGTCCTGAACGACGCTGGCGCGGCGGTGGCACAATGTCTGCACGTGAGCAACCTTAAAAGCGCCATAATTGGGCAATAATATATTAGGTTGGCTAGAAAGTTCTTGCGTAATTCAAACAAAATTCAATAACTTTTCAATGACTAAACATAAATTCACAATCTTGTTCTCTAAAAATATTAGAAGGCCTGCGCTCCAAGATGGATGTTTAAACGCAAGATTTCATGAGCTAGTCTCCGAGAACGAAGCTCTCAAATATGGGACTTCAAAATTTGCAATTTTGAGTTTGGTGCCAGAAAATCGCAGAGTGTCGCTAGCTAGCCGAAAAAAATCTGTAAAAATTACTCACACTGCAAAAGCCCATACGTTATTTTAGCAGGCTTCAAACTCGCATGGGAATGCGAAAACAAAAAATTTGTGGAATTTGTCATTTTACAGGATAAATCCCCTTATCAATGTAATTTTTCCACAAAAACACAGTTTGCAACCAGAAATAAGACATATTGCCTATTTAGAACTTTGCGACGTTTTTTGGAGTGTGAAAAATAGTTTTTGCCGAAAAACTGCTGTAATGAGTGGATTTTTTCCGCAAAATGACTATTTCACGAATTTTTTGTTTTTGCTTCACCGTGCAAGATCAAAGCCTTCCAAAGTAACTTACGGACTTCTGCAGTGTAAGTAATTTTTACAGATTTTTTTCGGCTAGCTAGCGACACTCTGCGATTTTCTGGCACCAAACTCAAAATTGCAAATTTTGAAATCCCATATTTGAGAGCTTCGTTCTCGGAGACTAGCTCATGAAATCTTGCGTTTAAACATCCATCTTGGAGCGCAGGCCTTCTAATATTTTTAGAGAACAAGATTGTGGATTTATGTTTAGTCATTGAAAAGTTATTGAATTTTGTTTGAATTACGCAAGAACTTTCTAGCCAACCTAATATATGCGTCTACGGAACTTGTCATTGCCTAAAACCTGCATAATACCGAAATATCCATCGATCAATAAGGAGCTCGTCCACGCTGGTTGCGGCCGGCGTTGGAACGACTCTGACACAGCATTGGCACAATGTCTGCACGCGAGCAACTCTAAACGGCCATAATTAGGCGCTATAATTAACGGCCATTCTGATAAATTGTTATCAACAAAATACGCGATGAAGATTACTTTGAAAAATTGTTACAGAACTTCCTTATTCCTGGAATTTTAAGCCTTTTATAAATGATAAACTTTTTCTATTTTTCAATAATTCCATTGTCTAACTGTCCTTAAATTTACACTTTGAGGAATTTTATATTCCAGAAAACAGAGTTATCTCCCAAAAACTAGCATTCAGTGATTTGCGAAATTTTCTGTGAAGATCCGTCCTGCTGCATGGGAAGACCTTCAAATCCCTGCAACGGAAAACGTCGCTTCCATAGGGAGCGATCCTCTACTTACAAAAAAACGAATGGCACTTGGAGCATAAAGGTGAATTCAATACAGTTACACAAATCTTATTATAATCTGTTATTACAGTACAATACAGGGGACACAGCAGGTTTCTATGGGGAAGATACTGTTCGATTTGGAGCTGAGGGAACTCATCAGCTCGTTGTTCCACGCACGACTTTTGGACTAGCGCAAAAGATTGCTCCAGCTTTTGTACTTGTAAGCATGTTTATTGGTATGTTGTACGCAGCGGAGTTCGCGGAGATGATGAAATAGTATTGTTGTATTTAAATTTTTCGCTCCGAAAAACGGGGGGAAACTTCCCAAAAAATTTGCAACCATAACTAGATTTCCTCGAGAGAATTTTGCACCCACAGATTTCTAAAAAATCTGCTGTCCATCTTCATTTCCTCCCCCAACTCTAAAAAGTTATGGGACCTTCACTAGCACTCCGAAACATAGGTAACGTTGGCCAGCTGCATGTTGCTAATTTCAAACATCAACCAGAAGAATTCTTAAGCAGCCAGACAAACTCGTTTTCGACCGATATATAAGCAATTTAGTTCTCCGTCAATTTCTAGATCAAATCAGAATTGTGCATTGCTTTTACAACATGACTTCGTGTTTCTGACCAGATTTGCACCGATTCTTTGGTAAAATGGATGTAGTGATGTTACGATAAGGTTATAGTCCTTGTAAAATCTAATTGTTCGCTCCGTGCCTTGAAGACCAGCGCAAGCAAGCGGTCGTCGCGAACGACTGTAGAGTGCAGTATTTTTCGAGAAATTTTCTGTCAGCTTCCATACTGTTTTCAAAAATGCAAAGCATGTTTTGACCAAAACTTTCTTCAAAGGCTTATAGAAATATGTGCGAGACGGGTGCGCGCTCACTGTCGCTTCTCAGACAATCGACCGGACCCCTCCGCCGGACAGTCGAAATCTGCCAGAGTCGCGCCGGACCCAGTTGACCAATGAGAGCGGGGCGATTGGGCGGTCCCTTCTTGTAGGTCGCGGTGACATCACTGGCAGGCGAGTGGGACCCTTCTCCGGCCCTGCTGCAAAGGTACGCCATTTCTGCTCCGGAGGTACGCCAGATTTGGCAGAGCCGCGCCGGAGAAATTTGCCCGCCGCGAGTCCGCCAGATTTGGAAGAGCGGAGCAGAAAATCGGAGGGGTCCGGAGCACAAATGGGAGGTATCCGGAGCAGAAAATGGGAGGTATCCGGAGCAGAAAATGGGAGGTATCCGGAGCAGAAAATGGGAGGTATCCGGAGCAAAAAATGGGAGGTCTCCGGAGCAGAAAATGGGAGGCCTCCGGAGCAGAAAATGGGAGGTCTCCGGAGCAGAAAATGGGAGGTCTCCGGAGCAGAAAATGGGAGGTCTCCGGAGCAGAAAATGCGAGGCCTCCGGAGCACAAAATGGGAGGCCTCCGGAGCAGAAAATGGGAGGCCTCCGGAGCGCAAATGGGAGGTCTCCGGAGCACAAAATGGAAGGGCTCTGGAGCACAAAATGGGAGGGCTCCGGAGCAAAATGGGGGGTTTCCGGAGCAGAAATGGGAGGGCTCCGGAGCAGGAGTGGCAGACACCCCGCTGGGGAAACCCCGCGGCCCTGCCATTTCTCCGCCGGAGGGGTCCTATCCGCTGTATGAGTTGTATATAAGGATTCATACCGATTCCGAAGTCCGGGAACAGTCCCAGCACAACGCTTAGTTCGAGCACTGTGCTGGGACTGTTCCCGGATTTCGTAATCAGTATGAACGCAGACTAACAACCATGTAGCGTTCGGGACCCAACGTTTCCAGCCGCCTGCGTTGGTTTCAAAGCGACACGTGGCAAATGGATTTTGAAGCTTCTGTAATCTTGCAAATTTTTGGCGAGTTTGTATCCTTTTTTGACAAAACGGAGATCTCTACTCTATCAGAACTTCTAAAAGGCTGATTTAAATTTTGCTCTAGATTCTAAGGACTCGAAAAATTGCTAAAAATGTTGAATAAAAGAAAGTCACTTGCAGAATTTCATAAAAAGAAAGTTTTGCGACCCATACTCTGGGACGCCACTTGAGTCAGGGCAAATTTGCTTTTCATCTTTCTACATAGTCCTTCCTCTAAGGCCGCGGGCATGCTTTATGCGATTTAAGTCGCCACGCGATCTAGCAACTCGCCAGATGTCTTCAAATTCAATTTTGTCAGACCCGAGATGCACAGCACAGCTTTCGTAGATACAAACTGCCCTATCTTCTATACATTCAGAAACCTCTTACGATGGGTTGTGAACAACTGGAATTGCCAAATATCGCCGCTACTGAAATTGCGTGAGGTATGCCTAGGGCCTTGAAGGCAGTGTCCCGGCAGATTCTCGCCCTGCGAGATATAGCTATGGTGGGATTTCTGGTCAATTCACTATCTTCAGGCCCAATCTGGTTGGTTGATGTTCCCCTCGCGTATAGAAAATAGCCCCCGAACCGGTGTGCTCGGACGACCTCGCTTACGCTTACCGGGACCACCATGACCGCTCCCGCATTGTGCATGCTATCCAAACCATGACAGGCAGCAGGGTCTTCATGCCATGGCCTCTCAACTTTCCACTGAAATTCTCGTCCGAGCTCCTTTTGCAAATAGGTAAACGTCCCAAAAACGACATTTTCACCCGGTAAGCTCCAATTCGGGTTTACGCGTCGAAAAGGCTTAAAACATGCAAAAATATAAGATGCAAAATCTGCCGGGACAATGCCTTTAAGCAACCATGGAGATTGAGCTACTTTCTTTTCTTAAGCTGAGAGAAAATTCGCCTTGCATCGAGTGAACTCTAATAGCTTAATCGAACAGTGATGATTTGACTTGCTTTTTCATAAGTGTCTAAGCCTGGATTATGATCAACTTCACTTTAAAAATTGCAGTCGCACTTAGAAGGTATACTCGGACTAGGATTCAAAGAGGCAGCAGTAAACAAGGTTACGCCGCCATTTACTCGAGCCGTTGAGCTAAGTCTGCTTGATCAACCCATTTTTACCATCTATTTCAAAAATGTCGGGGGTGAGTTTTGGGACTACCCTATTTTCAGGTGTATACGCATTAAGTGAGAGCAGTATGCGATAAGGCGACCGCTTCGCGAGACATATGCGCGGCGGCACGCCTGGGTCTGCTCGCGTTTAGAGCAAAAAGGGTGCGGCTTATACACCTGAAAATAGGTTACATATCTTGGTACGGTCCATCCTTTGAATTTGCTCATTTACAGAAAAAGAGGATGTTTATGGCGGTACAATCACATATGGAGACTTTGATCCAGATCACTGTGACGGACAAATTATATATGAATCTTTGACTTCTGCACAAGCATGGCAGATTCGGGTAAATTCATACTGAGACGATACCCTTTAATTCAACTGGATTGGAGGTCGGAAGGCGGGGCTTTGTGACCTACTTAAGGCTAGAGGATGATCAGAGAGAACGAGGCGAGAGAGACGCACACTGCGTCCGCTGCGCGAGTGGCCTTAATTAGTCAACAAAGCCCCGCCTTCCAACCGCCAATAAACTTGAATCGAAGGTTACAAGATCTGAACGGGGGGAAAGGCCCAAAGAAAACAGTAGTTAGTTACCTGCCTGAAGTACCGCAGACCAGGAAAGCAGGCGACACCTTTAACATGTAAACTATCTCAGAAATGGCTGAATAAATTCGGCGCACCAGAAGACAAGCATTTGTCATTAGGTGTCAAATGCTTGTCATTTAGCGCAAAATGTCATCCGCGTCTGTCATCCTTGTTATCCGCGTAAGCAAAATGGAAAATGGATGAAATAGCGCTTTCTTACAGATATCCAATACTTTCTCCTTATATACTAGGACAATACTAGGAAGAAAATACCTTTGTGCACTGCGAAGTCCATTGCGGAGTCGCTTTTTAACTCGCTTACCACCAGACGTCAAATGCGCGTCATTTAGTGCGCCGCATTTATTCGAAATTCGTTTACAGGTCAAACATGGCGCCTGACCGTCAACTATTCAAAAGGTTCTTCACAGTGACTGATCTTGACTTGTTTACTAGCTTCATCTTGCTAAAAACTATATGGAAAGGAAGTTGCACAAAAATAGCGTTTTCCAGCTGAAAGGTATCCGTGTGGGTACCTATCAAACCACCGATGGTTGGGAAGCACTGATCGACACCTCCAGCTCATTCAACGTTTGCCCACAAGCAATTCTTGAGGAGATAGCAAAGCAGTTTGATGGATGGGTACGCAACAAACATCGTTTCTAGTCTAAATCGCGGATGAGGACGGATGGTTATGGGGTAAGAAGACGCACGCGGCGCACGCATGAGCGGACAAGCGGACATCGTGCATGAGTGACTTACGCCACGCGCTGAACCATCCGCCTTCGTGGGACGACCATACCCTTTGATTCAACTGGCTTGGCGGCTGGAAGGCGGGACTTTGTGGCCTAATTAAGGCTGGATAATGGTCAGAGAGCGCGCGCGCGAGAGAGAACACAGACGGCGTCGCGGGCGCGATTGGCCTTAATTAGGTCACAAAGCCCGCCTTCCAGCCGCCAAGCCAGTTGAATTGAAGGTTACTTCCACTAATCAACAAAATTATGACATTACAGTTTGACGAGCTCAGTGGCGTATATCTTGCGTCTTGTGACTCTCGACAAACACTTGATCTGCTTATCGGACGACTTATACCCTCACGGCTTCAACGTTGCTTAATCCATTCAATAAAGACACTTGCATGCTGAGATTTTGGGCGACTTTAGATATGTCAATAGGACCAGAGTGGACTCTTGGTGATCCATTTATTCGCGATTACTGTAACGTTTTTGACATGGGCAATAAGAGGATTGGATTTGCTAAATCACTATAACAAAAACTTGTCTTTATTATGGAGGTGTCTCTTTGTTTGGAAATAAAAGTATACGTGGGACGTTTCAAGCAAATAGCGGTGACGCTGTTACAGTATGCACAAATAAGGAGAGTATTAACGAAGCATAGCCAATCACGGCGCTCGCTCCTCCCACGCAAAAGCTACAGTACCTCGCGAGCGCGTCTTACTAACACAAGACTTTAGCAACCCTCTCTTCTCTGTTTCTTCCTTCTCTTTCTCTCCCTCTTCTAGTATCGATAAAAGGGCCCCACACTCCAAGGCTAGCAATGCCTCGGCCCGTCAACTTTTTCCTAATGAAATATCCTGGGGAAAAATATGTGATCGTTCAGTAAAAAATAACCGCTGACATCGCCAAGATTTTATCAGTCAAAATGCAAGAGAAAAATTTTACTTTCGTATATGTATCCTAGAGCATGTGGAAGACTAGGATTGTTGGAGCTTTTGATTTATTGATTTTGTTTTTTCCGGATCCGAATTCTATGTGTTCTTTACAACTTTTATGTCACCTACGTCGTAACTAGGGGATTGAAAAAATTGCAAACGTTGTATGACAAATTCAAACTTGTTTTTGCTTTGATTTCAAATAGTAAATCATCCAAAACGATTTGGGTCACAAGTTTCAACCTGTCAATTACACTTTTGCGCAGAACTTCTGACAAATGGATAAAATTGTCAATTTTTCCTTCATTTGGACGAGTTCACCACAAAAAGCTGAACATAAGCTAGGAAATAGTGCCTTCGTTTTATAATGTATCATCGGTTCCAAGATTCGTGTGGAGGCGGGTTGCGGACTTCCCTGATTTACAGGATAAACTTGTTAAACCTCCACGTCATAGCATTGTATTTCGTATTCTCTCATCAAGCTTATCCTTCAAATCAGGGAAGTCCGCAACCCGCCTCCACACCAATCTGGGAGGGAGGGCAAGCGTTAGGCGACAAAACGTGCAAAACGCAAGCAACGTAAAACCCGCAACTCAAAACTATGCACCATTTTTTCATTGGCGTCGGGTAATGTATCGGCCCCGACCCCCACCCCCCTGTTTTTGGCGGAGGAGACGTTTTGCACGGGAGTTCTTTGGGGTCCAAAAAATTGGGTTTGTCGCCTAACGCCCTACACCCATCTGGGAGCCGATCATACATTTTTTAACACTCAAAGTTGTGCGCTCCATGGTCATTTCCTACGCCTTAGTACGATTTGCGGTCGAGTGCACAGTTTATCGCAGGCGCTTTGAGTTACAAGAAGGGTCTTTTGATTCTGCTCGTAGGAAGGCTGGGTGTAATCTGTGAAAATATTTCCTCATAAATCTCAAAATTTTAGCAAGAGGAAAATTAAAGAGTTTGTTAGATGCGCGTTTGCGTTGCGTCAGTGCAAAAACGCTAGTAGCTGTTAAAATGGAGCGCATTATGAATCGTTTGTTTTCCATTTAAATAAGATGAGAACGAATGTTGTGATATATCGCGAATGCAACCCAATCAAACAGCCCACGTGCTATGACTACCCAATCGCTCTCGAACCTGCCGCCGCTCGTTGGACGCAACGCATTCCTCTCGGCTTCTTCCGTGAGCCAGAAAAGCGATTTATCAACCACGACATGGCGGACGGCGTCAGCTGGTGGGCAATTTCACAATGCGCCGTCCATGTACTCTTCTGCTAGCACTACTACTAATATTTATCCATGTAATTCCTTCCGTACACGCGTTTTCCTGTCCGGAACCAGTTGGACCACGGCCAAAGTACTGTCGCAAGGAGTGCTCCACGGATGACGACTGTAAACGGCATAAACGCTGCATGTGCGATGGCGAATGTGGATTGAGTTGTGTTAATCCAGGTATAGCAATCTCTTCAACACACGACGGAAGTGCGGATCAAAAGGAGAATTTCTCTATTTGCAGCCTCCACGTGCCACGCTTTGTCTGAAATTGAAAACGGTTATATTCGCACTGCGGGAGAATTGAGGTAGATTTCTAGATTAGATCTTCTTAACACATTTAACAATCGAGTCTCTGTTTTTTGCAAATAAGGGTTCTGTGACGGAGAATCATAGTGTTTTTGCGTTGCCGACGTCATCCGCGCGAAGTGTTTCGCGCGCTCTAGGGCCAATTTTTTACGCAAGTCCCAAGCATGCTGTGGACATGTCAATTGTTTCCGCGCAAATGTTGTGGTCACCGGAAGGACGCTGTATTAGCTTATATCTCTTTGATGGTTCGCCAGCAAAGTCGCATTATTTCCTTGGTCATCCTAAATGCAGGAAAATTTATTCAGCCATTCCTTTCTTTTTGCAGATTTGGTTCCAATGCAGAATATGCTTGTAATAAAGGTTATGTGCTGATAGGATCTTCTCAAAGACGATGCCAAGGAAATCGTGAATGGAGTGGAGCACAGCCGACTTGTCGTCTCCAAAGTAAGGTGTTTACTATCTTCCATTCGGAGAGGTTTGGTAGTGATTCATTCCAAGTTTTAGTACGATGTGGACCTCCACCCGAAATCCCATATGCTGTTCACGACGGGTCTTCATTTTCTGGTGAATATGATCTAGAAGCTGAAGTTGCATACTCATGTGTTCCTGGATATCATAAATTCTCTGCAAAGGTAGATCATTTCCCGCTTATTACGAGTTGTTAATACTAAGTTGCTTTTTCCCATTGTTTCCTTGTTGATAATCCTCACGTATTTCTAAAACTTTCCCGGATTCTGGCGTTTTCCTTTTTTTGGATGAAAAATTGGTGTTGCAGGGGTTAGCTTTGGCAAAGTGCTTATTAAATCGCAAAAACATCGCACAATGGTTTGGCCCGGATCTGAAATGTAAAGGTAAATCGCATGTGAATTGTTGTCTATTTTTATAATCGTAAGCTAGCACGTTTTCAGCTCGTTCTTGCCCTGATCCTGGAAAACTAGAGAATGGTGTGCGAGAAGGTGATGTGTTTGAGTACCCGCACACTGTGGTCTTTCGCTGCCATCCTGGTTTTCTCCTACTGGGACCAGCTACACGAAGGTGTGAAAGTAATGGGGAGTGGTCGGATGAGGCACCGATATGTCAAGGTAAAACTGTCTCAGTAATATCATCGTTATATGCTATCGGTATTTATTTAACGTCACGAACTAGAGGAGGGTTGATAACTCAACTAGACATGCTTCAGCGACCGAATGTCCTCGACCACCGGATCCGCTGCACGGAAGAGTTCTTGGCACCTCGCTAACTTACCAGTCAACTGTCACATACTCATGTAAAGAAGGCTATCGACTTGTGGGTCAAGTGCAACGAATCTGCCTTGCTGAAGGGATCTGGGCTGGAACGGAACCGAGATGTGAAGGTGATTTCCACTGCTTTTTAACATCCTTTTGGTTTTCTAGTCGAAAAACAGTATATAGCCCTTTGTTGTAGAGATTCGATGTCCCAATCTGCCACCTCTCAGTAATGGATATATCGAAGGAGGCGATACATACTATGGAGCAACGGCCAAATTCAGGTCAGTAGTAACCTTGTGCAGAAATTAGCAAGGATTTGGTAAACAAAGATATTTGCTTTTTTGAGACTGCCCCAATTCTAGTCCCCAAACCCTTAGTTTAGATGCCTGGAAACAATGACTCATGAAGGGGCCACTATGGCAAAGTGTATGGAAACTGGACAGTGGAGTCATCCTATGCCAAGATGCTTAGGTAGAATTGGTTTTGTTGTTTTGAAGTGAAATGTTATTGTTTGCATATATTATGTATACATTTTTTTGAAGGTTCTTGCAAGATACCACGGATTGAGAATGGTCGAATCAAGGGGAAAGTAGAGAGGCAGCTAATTCCATCAGGTAAGTGCTGATATACAGTGCTGGCCAAAATTATAGGTCCACTTTAAAAAATGCCATAACTCACTCTGTTGTGAATGAAATCTTCCAAAAGTTGGTAGAGACGTGTATTTACCAGCCTACTATCAGTCTTCAAAACGGTTCTCGTTTTCGTTTGATTATTCAAGAAAAAATCAGAAATTTTGAAAAAAGCAGGCTTGAAGGCTGGCCAAAATTATAGGTCCACCTGGAGTTTTTACTGATCAAAGCACTTCTAAGCTCCCGAATTTTTTTAGATAGGTACACATCCAAAAACGTTAAACAGCTGCATTGGTCAAGCTGTGTCATACCTCCAAAAAGAACTGATTATCTGCTTTTTTGCCTTGAAGATGCACTCACATGTATTTCGCTCCACAAACCTGCGTTGAGTAAGAAATTCTGCACTTTCTCAGCTGGATCGGAAGGGACGGGGTTTCATCTATCTTCTGGATGCTTTTTGACGTGAGCATTGAGGAAAAAATCCGACTTTTTGCTGCTGAAGCAAATCTGACATTGGCTTAATCGGCAGAGTAAGCCTCAGTTTCTGCCCTAAAACCCTTTATGCATTGTCATTATAACCTCAAGATATTGTAGAAGCATTTTTTACACAAGAATAAAGCTGTTCGCCATACTCGCAAGTGTCCACAAAGCTGCCTTGCTTCTTTTTCGAAATGAGTTGTGTGTGCAACGTGATAATGGTGTTACGCGATCCAAAATAGCTTTCCAAGTGCTACCCTCACTTAGATTTTTGACAGTAATTATTTACTGAATAGTGGATACAGCTTGTAGTGTATGTTAGCACATGATTCTTCTGAAAATTTTGGTCGGAGCCACAAGTAGCTTTGGTGCTTGTCGTAATCAGTTTTTGCAGAGTGATTTCAGTAATTATAATCGAATGCTAGGATCTCTAGAAAGTTGTAACTATGGTATACGGACTCCCCTTCATAGAAACAATGCCTTTACTTTACTCAATGCTTCTGAGAACATTGTAAAAGAAGTTTGAAGGCAGAAATTTGAGCTCAGGATTGCAGTACTGTCAATGTCAGATTTGCTTCAGCAGCAAAAAGTCGGATTTTTTCCTCAATGCTTACGTCAAAAAGCATTTAGAAGATAGATGAAACCCCTTCCCTTCCGATCCAGCTGAGAAACTGCAGAATTTCTTACTCAATGCAGATTTGTGGAGCGAAATACATGTGAGTGCATCTTCAAGACAAAAAAGCAGATAATCAGATTTTTTTTGGAGGTATGACACAGCTTGACCAATGCAGCTGTTTAACGTTTTTGGATGTGTGCCTACCTAAAAAAATTCGGGAGCTAAGAAATGCTTTGATCAGTAAAAACTCCAGGTGGACCTATAATTTTGGCCAGCCTTCAAGCCTGCTTTTTTCAAAATTTCTAATTTTTTTGAATAATCAAACGAAAACGAAAACCGTTTTGAAGACTGATAGTAGGCTGGTAAACACACGTCTGTACCAAATTTTGGAAAATTTCAATCACAACAGAGTGAGTTATGGCATTTTTTAGAGTGGACCTATAATTTTGGCCAGCACTGTATCTGCGCGCTTTTTCAACGAAACTTAGCTCAATATTCATCTACTTAAAAAGTAGTCTTCAACGTCTAATATCTTCAATTTTTCAAGATGTATCATGAAAAATTTGCAGTTTTTCATGTATTTACTTTTTTGTATCATTTGTTTTTCTTGAAGGCGCAACTGTTGAACTGGTATGCGATGATCGTCACGAAGCTAACATGCGCACGACGATGCTTTGTCACAATGGCACTTGGAGCCATGTACCGACCTGCTCTCCATGTAAGTTTTGGTTGACATTTTGAGCTTTTTTACTCTCTCTCTCTCTCTCTCTCTCCTCTCTCTCTCTTGACCATAACAAGTCTTCAGTAAACTGTCATGAATGGCCTCCGAGAGTTGCTCATGCTCAAGTACTGTTCTCCAAATCATCCCATGGAGCCATAGCCAAATATGAATGCAATGCAGGGTAAGGCTTGTTGGTTTAGTTGCCAATAGAAGGCATAATTTTGTTTCTCAGATATTATCCAAACAAGGAACATCAGACAATCAAGTGTCTTTTCGGACATTGGACTAGGGAAGGTGGTCCGCTGAAATGTCTACCGAGTAAGTTTTTCTTAGCCACGCCTTTTATCATCACTTTTGAAAGTGTTTATCGTCTGTTCCAGCTTGGTGTCACCACCCATCTCGTACATTTGGCACTTTGGTCGGTGGTCAGATACTTCTCGAGGGACAGATGGGTGCCTATGAGTTTGCCAAGTATATTCAGAAGGTAGAAGAAGGTCGTTCGATAGTGTTCCAGTGCAATAAGGGGAACTACCTGATAGGTATTGAGTCCTATATCCGAGCTATTTTTTTTTTTGAATTCATGTTTATGTCAGCCATTCTTACTTTTTCGTTGTTGTCGATATTTTCAACTTCTTCATTGCATTTTTATTGCCTCGCAACTACAGGACCTCCAAAAGCATCATGCGTAAATGGTCAATGGATGCCGAAGGTGAAACCAAAATGCGTCTCTCAGACCCATCCGATGATCGAAGGACGAATTATGTGGGATCGAAGAAAACGTGAGATAGAAGGTGCCATATTGAGTGATCCTGACAGACCCTTTGTATTTCACATGACCGACTTTTAGGTACTGACATGACCGCAGGCTGCCCTCCGCTACAAAGTACTGCCGAAAAAGTTGTCGTTGTGAACAAGGATATGGATATTACGGTAGAATCGTAATTTTGTAAACCTATGACTGTCATTTGTTGCTTCAGATCATTTGTAGAGAGGGTTATGAGTTTCCAAAAGAATTTATGGACGGGCGATCTGTCTGTGTCAATGGCACATGGTCACCAACACCGCCAGAATGTGTTCCAAGTATGGGAGTAGCTTTTCTCAAATTGCACGAAGATCTACAATTCTTGCCAGAGTCTTGCCGAATACCTGCGCGACTTCATGTGTTCTTCCTCAAACGACGCACCTCGCAAATATTACAATCCGGTGACGTTATAGAAGACGGCACATCGGCAACAATGATTTGCCTGCGCGGATTTCATCTACAAGGTAAGCGCACTCAGCTTTACGCATATCTTTTTACTTCGTTAACTTAGGAAATGGCGAACTTGAATGCCATCGCGGAGTCATAGCGAGACCTATTGGCCATTGTTTTCCTCGTAGGTCTATTCTGTTGTTTGTTTTTTCACTCTGTAAGATGGGGCCAAATTGTTTCCTCAAGATGAATGCTTGATTCCATCGCTTGCTATTGGGACGATATATCCTCAAGGACGAACGTTAGCAGACGGCCAGACGGGAGTCCTCGTTTGTCCAACAAAGAACATTACAGTCAGCTGCAGCAGAGGGGTAATTAGCCCAACACCGAACTGCATTGGAAATGGTGGGTATTAGTACGTCATTAGTCTTTGATTTATTCACTTTTTCATTCTTACAAAAGCACATATTTATCAACAGTTTGGTCGCTGGGTTTTAAGTCTTTGCAGCTTTGATATCAAACTTTACAAGATTGATAAATTATTATTATTTTATTTTCATTGCGGTTTTTGTATTTATATGGATATAGTCTTCAGCTACAACATTTTGTGCTGCACCATTAGACACAACGCCGGCCCTCATCTATAGCATGCAGAACAAACAACGGATAGAACTTGACCGATTTCAGACCGCATATCCGAATGGCACAGTCTTCCAGTACAAGGTAACCGAAATTTTTCTGGACATACGATCAAAAATTTGTAGCCTTGCTAGCTATAGCATTTTTCCTCAATCACTTTCGGTGAAGATTTCATTTGGTAAAACATTTTCTTGACATTCATTATTGTAATTGTTGAAAAAATTTCTATGCCATTGTTTTTCTCATAGCACATTCTCAGTGTGTTGAACAACGTGAAGAAGCGAATGGTATTGAATGTATAAATGGCGAATGGATTAGCAACTTGCTTCCGTGTTGTAAGATAATTATTTAGCGTTTTTTTTTTAGAAACCAGTAGATTTTCTATCATTAAGTGTCGGACAATATTACGGTGCGCAGTTGGAAAAGTCCGTTGGAAGAGACCATGTGCTCCTTGCCCAATTTGGATAAAAGAATGCGTTTGTTAAACGTTGAAAATTTCGCTCCTTCTGAACATCTCAAGTTTGCCCATGGAACAGTACTTCAGGTAAATTTTCTGTTTTGATTTGGTAGAGCATTGCTAAAAAAATGCTCCTGTAACAGATTGGTTGTGTTGTAAGTGGAGATGGATCTGAGTACATGGAAATGAAATGTCGGCATGGAAAATGGAGCAAAAGAAATAGGATCAGCTGCAATTTTCGTGAGACATTTTTGTAATTTCTTCCTCCTTTAGATCCGAAGTTATCATGACTTTCGCAAACACAAAAGACTTCTTTCTTTCTTTTTGTTTCAGTCGAACTAGGTTATCTCTTATTCTAGATGGACGACCTTGCGAATTTAAGGTGCAGTTGAATTCCCGAACGATAGTTTATCACGTTGAAAAGAAAGAAACTGTGCTGTTTAATCAGTTTTTCCCAGGTAAGTGTGCTGCCTTATGTATGAAGGCTGAAATCAACTAATCATAACAAAACGCATTCAGAAGGCTCACATCTGACTATCAGATGTGTCAATATCGGCACTGATCGCATGAAAGGCAGTGCCGAACTTGTCTGTCGGGAAGGAGCATGGTCACATCCGACTCCGTATTGTGTACCACTTGACCCACTGAACAGAAATAGTGAGCCTTGGCTTTTGAAAAGAAAATTTTATTGCACAACATACAACTTTAGAGGACTCGCCTCCGATTCTGATTGATGTAGTACATGGTACTCATGCATATTCTCCATCTGGAGAATTAATTGTCGCTAGAAGTGCTACTGTTAGTTTTTCTTGCCTTTCACCAAAGAAAACGTCGAAGTCGAAATGGGTGAGTGGTAAAGGAGGTGTTAGGTCACACACTCTTTATCTATCCAAAAATTTTACAGGAATTTTCCTCTACGTATCGCACTTATCCTCAAGTATGGCATAAAATCAATGCTTTAGGTGTGGAACAAGCGGATGCGAATCAGGTTTGTTTTTATGGGATTCAGAAGAAATTTGTGCAACTTTATATGATTAATCCTTTCTTTTTCCTTTTATTTTGTCGTTATTAACTGTGCTCTGATTTTAAAAAATATGGGACAATAAGCAGCTTTTTGTAGTTCTTCCTCTTTAATAGTAAGTCAGTTTATAGTCATCCTTTAGCTCACCGTTGCCATCGCTCAACCTGAGGATAGCGGTCTGTTGCATTGCATCCTACCCAGCGGCAAGCGAAACACTATCCGAATGCGAGTAGAAGGTATGGTTTTCAACGAAAGCAGTATTTTTGTTCCATACATTCTTTAGATCGCTTTTGTCCACCGCAGCAAAACTCATCTCACCTTTCGGTATATTTGACTAGGAGGAATTTGTTCATCGGAACAGTGGCGCAGTTTTCATGTCCTGTAGGGTACAAGCCACATGGGCATACTACAGCTACTTGTGAAGATGACGGGACATGGAGCCATTCGCCACCGGAGTGTCATGGTAAGTGTTACATTAGTCACATATTTTTATTGGAGTGAGAGGGGCATGATCTAGTTTCTTTCTCGATTATGGCGAGTTCAGAAGGAAAAGATAAATTTTATGGGATTCACCTCGCTATTTTTTTGGAAATTTTTCATTTATTGTCTACCTTACTTTTAATCATGTTATTACTCATTGAATTATCTACCTTTGCCTGGTTACAGCGATACAGTGCCCTCCATTAGCAGTTGACAGCCGTTCTATGATGGTCACAGTGTCGTCGTACAAATTTGGTGGTATCGCCCAATTCCAGTGTGCTAAGGGGTAAGTTTTCAAGCCAATAAAGTCTTATTTTTTTTAGTCTACAGTATATCATTGGGCATAACAATGCGTTTTAGGTTCACATTGATAGGAGCGGAACATATACATTGCCAAAGTGATAGCACATGGAGTGAAAAGCTACCATTTTGCACAAGTAAGCAAAGCCTTTGCATTTTTCGTACATCTATCTATTGTTGTTACTTTTTTGTAATTTTGCTTTTATTTATCTTGTGTATTTTCTGAATTTTCGTTCTTTTGTATTTTGGATTTCATTTCCTTGATTGTAGTCGTAAAATGCGATAAAATCGACCCGCCTAAAAATGCCGTCCTGCTCTCTCCACCAAAGAAGCAATATCATCGCGGTGATGTGATGCTGTTTGGATGTTTGCCAAATCATATTTTAACGGGAGGCGATTTTGTCGTATGTCAGCCAAATGGGCAGTGGACGAAATACATAACGAAATGTGAGTTTCTGTCAACTACTAAAATTTCCCAAAAAAGCTTAAAGGTGGGATTATAGGCGATCCGTTTTGCCGCCATCCTGGCGTTCCACCTCATGGTGCATCAACATCACCACCCAAGGACTACTATCTTGTAGGCGAGAAAATAGTTTACTATTGTCCATCACATGAATATAAATTAAATGCTGAAAATGTGCTTACATGTATAGGAGCTGGTAAGTGGTCTCGAAAAATTCCTTCTTGTGTGTTTGATCGGCGAAATTGAATACATTTGTTGATTGTGTACATTGGTGTGATATTTTGAAATTTGTTAGAAGAGAGTATATTTGAAATTGTGGAAACTTATGGATATCGTCACCCTCTTTAATGATCGATACCATGTTAGATAATGACTAAGCCTCGGACATGTCCAAAAACAACTTCTAATACTCAAGTTTATCCTTATGGCATCAAAGAAAACAAGATCAACAAATAATAATCCATGGATAACAAATAATAACAGAACAATCAGAAATAAAAGGATCTGAGCCAGAAGACGAGGTGGCTCCGTCGTCGTACGTTCCTCACTGTCTCGAAGTCGCTCCTCCCTCTCTGTCTGGCGGCGTCTGGCGAGCCTCGGCATCGGGCGATCTGTAAACAAATCATATGGGAACGGAATGATACAGTAACAGTGTAGTAGTACAAGAAAGTAATAAGTGTGATTACATACCAAATATGTACAGATAATATCTTACACCTCCCCCCTTTAACAAGAGTCCGTCCTCGGACTCAGTATCGTAACATCGGCCGCATCTGGTTGTCGAAGAAGTTGAGGTCCGTGACGACGCCAGCTTCGCGGCACCAACGGACGATGGCCGACCATGTTTCGACGTCCTGCAAAAATTTGACCGAGCCAATGATAAAAAGACCGTCCTTACCCCGGGACAACGCCACGTTCAGCCTTTTTTCGTCCGAGAAAAACGTCCTCGTGGTCCTTGTTTCCATTTGTGTCCTGGTGGTACACAGAATGACTACGGATCGTTCAGATCCTTGCGCACTGTCGACCGTGCCCACTGTGACGCCGGTTGCCTGCAATGTGGACTCGCATAGGAACTTTTGGTCGCGGTATAGACAAATGACTAGAATATCATCAGCCCGCATGCCTACCGCCATGAGGTGACGGACGAGTACCAATACCGCATTTGCCTCGATGTCATTGCTGTGGGATCCCGTTACTGATTTCACCGAGTGGCTCGCTACATCGACCAAAGCCACCGGAATGCGCCCGTTAGGCATTCGAGTTCTTGAGAGAAGTCCTTGACGCTGATGCGTGGGAGTTCCACACACTAGGCGCCCGTCGTAGAATAGGTCCGAGTTTAGGTGCATCATTTCCGCGTGCGGTCTATAGACCGTACTTACCGTGCAAATTGGTACATTTCCGTTTACGTGGGCTACATCCAAAACTGAGCGGGAGCTTACCTCTACCGCTAGCGGGATAGTGTGCACTCCAATGTAAGGTGGCAGCTGCTTGCTATCACCGATGAGGGTGAAGCGCGCGTTCTGGAATCGCGACAGCATTGCCATTAGCGCAGCTTCTAGGATCATGGAAGCTTCATCTAGGAGAACGCACTTCCATGAGTTCCCAATGGTTCTCCAGAGCCCTTTTTTCGATGTAAGATTTAGCGCAGCGGCGATTGTGCACAAGTATACGTTAGGCTTGTAGATCTTCAAAAAATGCGCCGCTAAGATTTTTACCTGCTCCGATGAGTTTTCCTCTAGGATAAGTAACCTCTTGTGCTCGTTTGATAGAACCTGTCTCTCCGTCCCTGTGAAGACGAATTCCCGCATTTCTTGGCGACTTTCGGCAAACTGCTTGAACTTGCGGTACATCGTATCACTCAGAAGATGACCGTGCGTGTTGTGGAAGTTTTCCATTAGCGTGTTCAACGCATATGGCGATTCGTTGTCGGGATCTGAAGCCATTATGTCGTTTACATACCTGACTGGTCTGATTAGGTCTGATTGCAGTTGTGCGATCTTTGATCCGATCACATCAAGTGCGCTGTTTTGTACCGCAGCTACGAGAATTTTCTCGTCGTTTTCCACTGCTTCAAGGGCCATAACTGCTGTACAAAGTGATTTACCAGCGCCGTAAGCGCTATCAACGACCATGATAGGGAAATTCTTGTTGAACGTGTTCACGGCGTTAACTTGATGGCGATTGAGCTCTACTGGGTTACCTGCCACGTTCACTGAAATACTTTCTCTTTCTGGACGTTCGATCCCTTCGAGGTCTATATCGCCTGAAAGTAATGCTCGGGCTGAATTCCATCCCAAAGTTCCTGGATGGAACAAATTGGATAATGTGGAAGCTTCGAGCATTTTAAGGACTGGATTGGCCCTTTCTTCCATTGTGTTCAACGACGTAGCCACTGAAATACGTCTCGTCCTAGAATTAACCAAGTAGGTTCGGAAGCGTACTCCTGAATTAGTCTGAAGCTTTGCGGTGACCTGGAATTCGGAGGCGCCCATGTTAATGTGGACAATTTGTCCTTCTAAGAAATCTGACATGTACGCTCCTCTTACCATTCGTCCTACTGCCCAACCTGACTTCCTGCCTATTGGGATAGAAAACGTAGCTTTAATAGGGAACTCGTTCAGATCTGCTGATTCCCAGACGGTTGGATGTACTGCTGCGTCGGTAGTGGCCTTGATAGCAGCGGCAATGGCTCCACAGGCCGTGCTATAGAGGGGTTCGAGGAAGTGAATAACCTCACCGGGACTGGTGCTAAACAGCTCAAAGCGCGATAACTTGCTCTCCACCAGTTCTCGATGGTCATTGCTGTTCCTGCGGATGTCGAAAGGTACCGGTGCCGGACTACTGTGGTACGGTACTTCTGCAATGTAAGCGTAAAGTTCGTTAGCTTTTCGCGCTTCGCAACAGAAGACCATGTAGTCGAGTTGCCGTGCTCTAAATGGTGCAACTATGAACGAGTTTGCTTCCAAGCTATTGAACTCCTGTGGATTCTCCATGCGGAAATCCGTTATTGTTACCAGTCGACGGTGTCCCTGCATGCATATGCGCGCCGAGTCAGTATTAACACTCACCACAAATCCTAACGTGGGTACCAATTCACGGTGGATCAGCGCGAATCTGTCCACGCGCCAGACAGTTGCCTGTCGGATCTGGAACGCTTGTTCAATGTTCTGCGGCGCTTGTACCTTACCGGATTTGAACTTTACCGTTACTGCCAGGCTGTATACCCATATCAAATCGCCTATCATCATTTTTGAAATATCGATGCCTCTTTTACCTGTCGCGATGTTGATTGCAAAAGGGTCGATTGTGATTACGACTAAGTCCAGCCGGTTTGGCAGGGGTACTTCGAAATGTACTGACTCCAATTTCGCGCCGTTGCCAAAAAGTGACTTAATGCGGTATAAAACTGGCTGTAGCTCACCATCATATACCAGTCCATGGACACATTTCGAGAGTTCTTCTTTCGTCCCCATGTCGGCGGTCGCCATCGTTGGTAGGGGCTGTCCATTCCTACGTAATGTGACAATTTCATCGTACCTGTTTCTGTTTCGGAACGATTCGATTGCCACTGGTCCCACTGCCTCCAAAATAGTCACTTTGGAGCGCAATGACTTCGGAATACCTCCGACTGGTGATGGAAATAATCCTTCCACTAGTCCGCTGTACCCGGATGCTGGAATGCGTTCAAACTGATCTGCATTCAAATCAGTGTTGTAGTAGGGCGATTCGACCGGCGATAGTTTTCCTTCTAAAAGATCTGCAAATGGGTGACTAGTGAAATACTCAAGCTCCCTTCTGGCGTGCGCGTCTTTGCGCCTTCTGTCGGTATCTTCACGACGATGGAAAACCTTTTTGGGTTCCGACCAAGTTTCCTCCACAGCGGCTGGTGTGAGAGAAGTATTCTCAACCAACTTGGCCAGAGCGCCTTCTACCTGTGCGCTCATTTTAGACATTTTCGCAGGATGAGCATACTCTTCGCTCTCCGAATCTGAAGGCGATCGCGAGTAGCTACGATCCTTCCTGGTACGTGTTTTGGGCGCCGATCCCTTTATGGTGATGGGCTTCTTACTACTACAAGGCTCATCCTCTGATGAGGACGAATCCCCACAAATGTTTGGTATTTTTTGACTTTTTTGTTTTGCTGGTCCCTTCGAAAAGGTGACGAGCTGTACCTGAGTGTCCTGTGATTCCGTTGCCATCGGAGGTTTGGCATCAGGAGCGATCGAGGACGTTTCCCCATCTTTTGCACTCGACGACTCGGTGATCGACGTGGTCAAGGACGTCTCTACGTCCTGAACGTCGATCTTCTCCTCCTCCAGATGCACATCACCTGGTGATGTCTCCGAAACTGCAATATACTATGTTTAGGGATTAAGATCAAATTCTTGTTGGTTATGAATTTTACATACCACAGGATTTGGGTGCTACAGTTGGTGTTGTCGGAGGTTCCTCTGACGAGGTAACGTCCATGGAAACGTTGGAAGCAAGATAGTCAGACATTATCTGGGATACGAAATTCTGAGATTTTGGCGGTTTTTAGGTAATGACGAGTTATTTTACGGCGATGAGCAGTAAAAAATGGAGAAAATCGCGAAATTGAAAGTGAGCGAATGGAAAATGTAGAAAGAACGATGATGTTAAATCTTAGTGAAAACGAGGACTTTGAGGAGTGGAAGCGTGCGTTGGAAAAAAAAAGGAAAAAAAATGTTGATGGTAAAAGGAAAAAACGAATCAAAATCGTTGTCGTCGGGTTTGTGGAAGACCTGAAACAGTGCTTTTTCCTGAAATAATGTTTGCAACTTTTCTATCATTTCGTACAGTTATATCTCATGTATTTCTCCTAGAGCGTAAATTGTATCCGTGAGATTCTACTTCTTCGACTGGCGTAATTTCTGTGAGAGTTGTGGGTGGGTGGTCATAACCTATAATTTCTTCCTCAGGACTTTCTTTTATGCAGTTTTCCTCTTCTGGTATCACTGGAAGCGTGGATGCTGGGCCCGTGTAATCCACTACTTTTTTGATTTGGTTTAGGTGTACCCTACGAGGTTTTGATTGCGGCGCAGTGATACTAACAATTACTGCATGAGGATGTTCCAATTTTACCACCCTAAATTGACCGATCCAGGGGAAACACAATTTTCTGGCCAACCCTTGCTTGTTGGTGTAGTTACGGAATAAAACGCGATCTCCTTCTTTGATTTCCGTTGGTCTAGCGGTCTTATCGTACTGATCTTTCATTTTTTGCTTATAAGAACGCGCATGTTCTGCTGCGTTAGACCAAGCCAAATGTAATGCGGAAATAAGCTGCGCTTTATACTCAGAAGTTTCGTCAAAGTTAGGCATTTTTACGCGCGTTTGTGGCATCAAAATCCTATCTACTGTGAAAATTGGATCCCTACCAAACATTAAAAAGAAAGGTGACTCACCTGTCGCTTCGTTGATGGTGGTATTGTAGCAGAATGTGACACAGGGTACGAATAGGTCCCAGTCCTCTTGCTTTTCGTTGATGAATTTTGACAGCATGACCTGAAATGTTCCAAATGTTCTTTCTGTTGCGCCATTACCCATAGAATGATACGGTGTAGCTAGTTTTTGTTGTATATTGAGGAGATTGCAAAATTCTTGGTAGAAATGCGAGGTAAAACTAGAAGCTTGGTCAGAGATCAATTCAGTCATTGTTCCATATTTCAAAACACATTCTGTGAAAAGTGCATGAGCGATAGTAACTGCTTTTGCATCAGGTAAAGGCGTAGAAATCACGTACCTGGTAAACCAACAGACGATATTCAAAATGTACTTGTTACCTCTATCTGTAGTTTTGAGAGGTCCACATAAGTCGAGTCCAACTTTGGCGAAAACGGCTTCGCTGTGAACTGGAATAAGTTGTTCTTTATATGCTGGTTTAGGTTTTCTGCGCATTTGACATGTGAGACAGCTTTCGCACCATTTTTGTATATCACTATAGATTGTAAACCAATAATATTTGCGCAAAATTTTGGCTAACGTTTTTCGCCAACTGACGTGACCTCCAGAAAGTGCGCTAGAATGGTGAGCTTCAAACAGCAAATGTCGTAATGATTGAGGTACCAATAAAAGTAGTTTTACCGTGTCTTTTCGTTCAAACTGGTAATATAAGCAACCGTCAGATTTTATAACTGTTTTGTTTGCCGTCTCTGATACTTCTTTTTTTGTTTGCTCGTCAGTAGAGGGCTCTAGATTTTCAGCGGTTTTTAGCTGGAAAACTAAACTTAGAAAATTGTCAGATTTTTGTTCATCTGCGAAGTTGATAGCGTGTTCTAGACCTTTGACGAATGTTTTTCTGGGAAATGGTGAGGATTTGGGTTTTACACCTGTAGCCAAGCAGAATGTTTGTAAACTAACAGGAAATTCAATGATATCTTGCAGTTCGTCCCTAACTTCTGGAATTTCGCTTTTATCCTCGAAAATGCGCGACAATGCGTCGGCTACCGTATTCTTTTCGCCTTTTACGTGTACAACTTTGATGTTGTAACTCTGCAGCTCAATTATCCACCGCGCAAGGTTATCATGCGTTTTGCTTTTATTCAGTAGAAATGTTAGCGGCTTGTGATCACTATGCAAGACTACTTCAGACATACAGATATAGGGTTTGAATTGGCGTAACGCATATATAATCGCACCTAGTTCTACTTGTACCGCGGGCCAGCGACGCTCACTATCGCTCAAAGTGCGGCTACAGTACGCTATGGCATAATATTTACTTGGCCCCGTTTCGTGTTCCTGCATTAGAGCACCCGCTTGAGCTACCAGACTAGCATCCGTAAAGATGTGGAACGGTTTATTGTAGTTTGGGTACCCAAGAATAGGCTTTTGTAATAACGCATCTCTAAGTTCTACGAAGGCGGCTTCCTGCTTATCAGTCCACTGAAATTTATTGTCCTTACGCGTTAGCCAAGTAAGCGGCTCAGCGATATTTGCGAAATTTGGGATAAATTTCCGAAAGAATCCTACCATGCCCACAAAACGCTTAACTTCTTTGACATTGCGCGGGGTGGGAAATTCTCTTATGGATCGGGTATTCGCCTCCGCGGGAGAATAGCTATGCATATTGACCGTATGCCCCAGGAACGTAATTTGATGTTTAGCGAAGACACATTTTTTGGGCGACGCTTTTAGGTGGAATTCGCGCAGGCGTGTTAACACTTTTTGGATAGCGCTGAGATGGGATGGGAAATCTTTACTATAGATGAGAATGTCATCAATATATGTAAGCACATTATCCTCTAGGCCCCCTAACACGCGGGTCATTATGCGCGCAAAATAACTGCTGGCAGACTTAAGGCCAAATGGTAAGTGTGTCATTTGATACACGCGGTTCTCAGTTATTACGCCGCATTTATAACTACTTTCGTCATCTAGTGGCAGTTGTAGGTAGCCACTAGCGAGATCTAGAGTGGTGTAATACTTATTTCCACCAATTTTCTCTAGCACATCGTCGATGCGGGGGATTGGGTACGGATCAGGGAGTGTTAAGTTACTTCATTAATTGGGCGGCGCATGTCTAAACATACGCGCAGGGAATTATCCTTTTTACGTACTACCACTAAATTATGCACCCACGGAGTATGTGACTCTTTCATTACCCCACACTTCAAAAGCATATTTACATGTTTCTGCAGTTCTTCGCGGTATTTTACTGGGACACGATATGGGCGAATGCGCGCTGGTGGATCATTATTGGTGTAAATGTGCACCTTACCAGCTGTACAGCTACCTATGTCATACTGATGTCTTGAAAATACATCGGCGAATTCTATAAGCAAATTTGCCAACTGCTCGCGTTCTACATCGCTTAGATCGCTGTTATCAAGGTCTACGCGATAACTAGGGTCGTCGTTAGTTAATTCGCTTACACAAGAGATCGCGGGCATTGGCGTATCATGTAATTCACTTACAGTAAGACCCTCTTGGACAACTTCGGAAGCGTTAGCTAAACGCATTCCCGCGTATAGAGTAACCGGTTGGTTTGTGGGATTTGTCACCAAGATATATGGTGTTTTAGAATCGATTATGGATGGAGCTACTATGAGGTCCTTGTCATTTAGTTTTGCGCTTTGCGATACCAATACAAAATCATTTCCTAAGTTTGTGGGCGGGGCCGTACATGCTACAAAAGTTTCTGTATTGGGCTGAATGCATACTGTATCCTTGACTCTTATTGGGTATTCCAAATCAACATCATTGTTCTTTGTGAAGGGTGCTCCCAGTGGTAATACCGTACTGCCAAAAGATACTTGTTTGCTTTGATAGTCAATAGTCATGGGTGGTAATTGCGAAAGGACATCGTGCCCCAAAATTACTTCGTAGTTGGAGTCTACATTGGGTACGCAATGTCCCTTAGTAAAATGCAAAATTGAGTAAATTTGGGTGTCACCTATCTCAAATTTAGCCCTTTTTGAGCCCGCCATTGGTATAGGTGTTCCCGCCATACCTAAAGCTGCTCTTGTTTGAGCCTTATCGAGGTGGAATATTCCCAACGCTGCGCATAACCCATCAGATGCTAACGTTATTGTGGACCCCGTGTCAACTAGCGCTGATACATTAATGTCATTGATTTTGATTCTTATGTGCGCAGATGTGACTGGGTGTACAAGGGATACATGGCAGACTTTAGGAAAGTCGTAAACTTTAGTTGCCGCTAGTTGGAATACTCCAGAAGAATTATTTGAATTGTTTGGGGCGGGAATACTTTGATTCCCTGAGTTATGGTTACGCAGATATTGTAGGAAATTTACTGGTGTTTGAATGGAGAGGTATAACATGAGAGCGCGTGAAAGGGCCTGCAGGGTAATGATAGCACAACATATTGTGACCCATGGTTGATAAATGTATGACACTACGTAACTGAGTAAAGAATATGTCGGTACGTTGGCTACGGTAGCTGCCAGGGATGTGTGCAACTGGTGGACATTAGAGCTACCTAAGTGCGCATTTAAAGTCGCTTCATTAGCCTCAAGGGTTGCCCATAGCTCACTAAATTGTTGCTCGGGGACGAACTCACTTAGATTAGTAATAACTAAATTGTGAAATAGGGTCAAAGCTGGCTTCACAGAATTAGGTGAATAATCACTAGAAAGTTGCAGAGTTGTGATTTCAGAGGAAGGTATAGATTCAAAGATATATGTGGATGGATAAAATTTTAGAATGGAATTGTTGCAAGGGATTTCGAATGATAAATGTTCGGAGCAAGGAATAGAATCTGCATTATTGGTCAAAACTCCCGTTACGGGATCGATGAATGTTTTCCATTGAGATTTATTAGGTAAGTTAACAATGACAGAGGGACGTGAGAAGCAAGAAGAGTTAAATCTTACTAAAGAATATAACGACGGAGGAATTAGTGTGCAGGCTTGCGTACCAATAATGTTTTCGCCTATAAAGTTCGCTTTGATATCGGAACGCTGTAAAATATTGCGCATGGCTATAGTGGGATTAGCCGAGATAGCGGCTGTCAAGGACATGCTCAGAGAATTCATGGATTTGCACAATGAAAGAATCGAATGATGCAGAGAAGTGCTTGAAGAATTATGCATAGTATCTTCTACGGCTAAGAGCTGAGCGGCTAATTGATTAGTAGTAGCAACGCCAACCTGTTGCAAAAAGGTTGGCTGTGATTGTCTTTTTGGACGAGAGGGAGAGTTATAAAATTGGACGGCATAGCCCTGATCAGTGAGAGTGAGAGTGTGAGAACAATCAAGGAAATGAGATTCAAGAGAAGGGAATGAGAGCGCAAATTCTTTACTATCACTTAACCAGACTTTGTCTACCAAAGTACCCTTCATGGGGGCAACTAAAATATACTTACATTTTTCCTCTGATTCTGGTGTCCAAATCACGGCCGCTCCATCCTTGGTTGTGCATGATCCGTCTTCGTAGCGGCATCCCTGTAGTGGTCCAATCGTGCTGTCTAGTGTTGGGGAATCGTGATATCCATATACTGTAGCCTGGAATACAACACAATTCGAAACGGTGGTGGTATAATCCGAACAGCAATGAAAAGGAGCGGAAGGCCATACAATTTCAAGTTTATTTGAAGTTTTCCAAACAGTGCCTACTGCCGAAAGTTCACCATGAGCACACGCTTTGTGACTAATCATGTGTCGACACACCCCTTCTGAGACTGTCTGCTCTTTCGTTACAGTATTCTGTGAGCGAGCACCAAAGAAGTTTACCGAATAAATGACAGTCTGAGTAATTATTCTACAAACATTTGCCACACTTTTATATCTAATGGTGTTGGGTCTGAAAACTTTGATTTTCATTGGATGGGCTGTTGCAGACCAACTAGGCAATAATTTAGTACAATTTATTTCGGATGGTATTTTCCAGTAAGTAACGGGTGACTTGTGAGAGCATAGATACGCAGGAGGCAATTCAAAAGCAGAGGCTTGAGCTGCCAACGCAAGCACCACTAGCATAGTATACGGAAGTTTAGAAGAATTGGACGATGAGGAAAATGTGCGTCGAGATGTCTCTTCGCTATTGCTATGAGTGTTTTGTTCACGGGTTGCATACGCAATGTCTGCTAACGCGTTGTTTCTGGCGATTAGTGCCGCAATATGGGCATCTTTTTCCTCGAGCAGAGATTGGTTACAAGGATTAGTGGTATCTGGCGCTGGGGTCTGCTCAACTGCTAGCACATTAGACCTGTCATAAGTATCTGGATGTTGTTGAGATATCGGATTACGTTGCGCAATAGGTCTAGAGTGATCTATGCGTTCTCTTGGATTCGGTCTATAATTTGAATTTGGTTGGGGGTTATTCCTGATGGGGAACTGACGCCTATTGTTAAAGTTATTACGTGGGGGAGGCATGCTAGTACGACATACATTAGCAAAATGACCGTTTCTACCGCACTTATAGCATGTTACGTTAGAATTTTGAGGACGTACCCCAGCGGATCTATTGAATCCATTTGAAAACTGCCTTACCTCTCTTGGTCTGAAGTTGTCGGCCATTGGTGGATCCATTCTTTCTTGAATGGTTTCCGGTGTCGTTCTTCTCGTCAGGTCGGCCTTCGGGACGAATATGTGCAGCTCTGGATGGTAGACCAAGTTGTTGTCGGATGCTTCCTTGTGGAGCGCTTCATAATCCGCCGCTTTCTCCAGGGCATCCTCAAAAGTTTTACATTTATGTGGTCGAACAAAAAATTTCAAGTCTAATCTTAGGCGTTCCACAAACTCTTCCAGAAGTTTTTGTTGAATTTTAGTTTGAGGTTCGTGGCGCATGAAGTTATACACGGCCTTTTTTATGCGCTTACTGTAAGAATAGACATCTTCCCCTGCGTTTTGCCTACAATTAGCTAATTCGCGTTTGGCAGCATCCTGAAACTGTGGTTTCTCAAAATGCGAGCGAAGAAATGAAATGATTTTGTCATAGTTATTCCTATCTTCAGGTTGCATTTCATCTATAACATCGCGCGCCTCACCTCTTAGAGTTGCATACAGCGTATTTACTTTACCTTGCTCGGGAAGTGGGACTACGGAAGTGCGTATGATGTCTTCAAACTGACGATGCCATTCGTTAAAGTCTTGGAAATTTTCCCCAGAAAAATAATCTATGTGTTTAGGTGCGAGCTTCCCGAGGGTAAGGCCGCTATGAGCTTGAGATAAGGCATTAACCTCGGTTGAGGACATGCCTCCACCGAGTAGAACAGGATCAACTGGACTTACGGTTTCCGGTGGTGAAGATCGCGATGAGTCGGAGTTGTCCTGGGTAGTCGTCTTTGAACGAGTCGTAATGCGAGCAATGTTGTCCAGAATGGGAGAAGGCGTCGCTTCTCCAAAGGTCCTCAGCGGTGTAGTCGAAGTACTCGACTGTGGAGTGGGTGCCGGTCTGCCTAAGTCGGCATATTATATACCCTACTCGATGGCATGTGCTCTTTGTGCGCGCCGCATCTTTGTTTCTGCCGTTGGCAACATGTGCTTGATGAAAGCCAAGATAAGAAAGCACTTTGTGAAAGTTTGCTCGAATAAAGAAACAAAGATGCTATCGCGCCTGAGAAGCACCAATGTTTACAATTGCGAGTATGAAAGGAATTTCGAACTTCAAAAGAAAGACCGTGCGTATGCTAGCGAGCTTTGTTTATTGCAAAGAAAGGGCTGTGAGTTTGCGAAAGTTAGCACAAGGAAACGAGCTAGCATGAGTGACAAGAGGCTCGAGCATAAGAAAGGAAACTTTGCACAAAGAAGCATTTTGCGATTGCGATTCAAATTTCTGGGCGACTTGCTCGAAAAAGAAATGATAGGTTTTAGCATAAGATTTAGCGATAGAGAATTTGCTATTTTCGAGGAACGGATGGATCGAGATAGAGAATCGAGGTTCTGGAATATATGAAAAATTCTAGAGCAAACACTATCACAACAGAGCACCTACATGGAAGACTGCAAAAGAAGGGGATTTTGGAGAAGGTTGTTACAGAAAGAAGCTTGTTCGTAGAATTAGTTTTATGTGATCAGAGATAACCAAAATAGACTGAGTATGAGAGCAAAAAGTGATGTGAGTAGAATAATCGCATACGCTCAGATTGCAACGAAACAAGGGCGAGCCAACATTACGGTGATTTGTGGAAGAAAACGAACAAATATACGAAAAATACTCACCTAGTCCGGTGGATCCATGTGGAGGATAGAAATAGCCGAATGAAGAGATGATCGATATTCGATGATGATTTGCCACGCCGTTGGTCATGTATCGACAAGTTCACTCATACCGTTTCTGCCAGCTGGTTAACGTGTCTCTACCTGTCGATCCTCGGCGGCGCCGGCTCAATTAGCTCAGAAAGGTGCCTGTTGATAAGCGGCGGATGGCGCAAGGCGATCGAGTCTGTCTCTCGCTAGTCCAAGTGAGGGTTCAAATCCCCTCCCGGGCCAAAGCTTTGCAATCGTTCCAGCATACCACTGCTTGTATTTCCAAGCTTACCCTCCATCAAAAACCTTCTTGCAAAGTGGGATGCGCCGACATCCGTCGCTTATAGGGGGGTTCTCTTGGCCCTCCTGCCTCTCGGAAACGGGGGGTGGGGGGGCCCATCATAGTTATAAAAAGACGGCGGTTTTGGAGGATAGATAAGTGATGCTACGTGCCTCCTATCAGAGCGTAATGTACGAAAAAGGATCACTGTAATTGCATATTCTTTTGTAGTTTCACTGTTCATGCAAAATTATACTTTTCTCTTATATTTTGTATCATTTAAAATGCTTTTTCTGTCCTGGTCCCAAATAGGTGACGAGGGAGTGAGTGAGGAACTTAAATCAACTGTATCTTATGTTTCTTATCCAAAATCAACGAACTATCCCACCGAAAATAAAATCACACAAATCAATAAAAACAGGTAATTTGAAGAGAAAATTGAGAGAGATTATGAGCCTAGGAAGTGGCCATCTTCTAGACTCCACGCTACTGAATTTTCCAGTCAAAGTTACCCCCGGTCGAGGCTAAAACCGGTCAACTCATGGGCTATTCCCATGAGGATTTTTTTTTAGAAGAGGAAGATCGGTGGAATCGCGGGCTACTATGAGGCCGCACTCGCTGCTACCACTTATGGATATCGTCACCCTCTTTAATGATCGATACCATGTTAGATAATGACTAAGCCTCGGACATGTCCAAAAACAACTTCTAATACTCAAGTTTATCCTTATGGCATCAAAGAAAACAAGATCAACAAATAATAATCCATGGATAACAAATAATAACAGAACAATCAGAAATAAAAGGATCTGAGTCAGAAGACGAGGTGGCTCCGTCGTCGTACGTTCCTCACTGTCTCGAAGTCGCTCCTCCCTCTCTGTCTGGCGGCGTCTGGCGAGCCTCGGCATCGGGCGATCTGTAAACAAATCATATGGGAACGGAATGATACAGTAACAGTGTAGTAGTACAAGAAAGTAATAAGTGTGATTACATACCAAATATGTACAGATAATATCTTACAGGAAATATTATATCAATAAATTTTATATGCTAAAAATCCGCTTGTGATATAAGACGCCACTTATGCTAACAATAGGGCTACCGTTATTCAAAGGGGCTCATCGTAGTGTCGCAAGCGCATATAGTATTTCTATATTATTCATATTTATTCTTTTCTGTTCAATATTTTCTTAGGTCTAGCAGAAGCACCAGAGAAGTTACCTTTATTAATCAATTTTGCGCTTAATTAGGCAATTTAATTCGTAATTTTGCTTTTGATGCTCACGGTATATACGGTACACAATGCTAAAAGGCTTGCACCCATGATCGTTTCGCGAAAATCAGTACAAGGCTCATTTATACCCTTGTTTTGGAACTAAATTTGGTTCAAAATCATCTGAAATATTTGAGGTAAAGTCCCTTATCATTTCATGAGGATAATACGCTACTTGTACGGTACTCTATAGGATAGCAAACACCTAGGCGAGACTGTACTTTATCCAGCGGGTGACAAACTTCACCTGACTATGTAACAGCAAAACAATACCCTCTTCTATATACATGTTTATTCAGCTGGAAACAATACACCGTAATGCACAAGGTGCGGTAAGTGCACTTCTATTGCAATGATCCCGTACCTTGTTTAGAGAACCGTATTAGAGAATGTGATATGAGATCTAAAGGGATTATGTACAGCAGAGATTACATTGAGATGATGCTTGTTTCCGTAATCACGGACTGGTACAGAGAACGTCACGTCGCTAATGGTCGCATGCGCGGGCAACTGATACGAACTATAACGTGTTAAGATGTACATTTTTGGTATGTGTCCGCGCAGCGGGGCCCATTGGCGACGTGTCCTTTACTTATGAAGAGAGTTAGAGAGATAACTATGTACAGCAGAGATCAAGTCGATATGATGTTGATTTCCGTAACTATGGACTGGCGGAAGTTTATGGCGTGGCGGTGATGAGCCCCTTTTTTCTTCTTTTTTCTCTTTTTTTCACTTCTGAGGCTAAAATAATCCATCTTTGGTGCTTTATAAAATTTACATCCTTGTTCTAATTTACCTCCTTCATGCGTCGAAGACGTTCAATCTCAAGCTAGCGATGCGTGCCACGGTCTAGACTTCGCAAGGCGAGTTTCGCTTGAATAATCGTCCTTGCAGTGAGTTTAGCAGCGATGTGCTCTCATAAGGCTGAGGTAGATGGCAGGTCAACAAAGCCATCTGTTCTCGGAAAGCTGCGCGATATTCGTGAGATCTCCAGATGCAAGCGTAGAATGTTTGTGAATAGCAGATCATTGCAAAGAGCACCTAAAAATATAATTTATTTTTTAGAATGCGAATCTTGATGCTGCGTCCAGAATTATGCGTGCCAACGCCATTCCACTGCCGTGCCGATGATGCGACGGTCGATTGCTTCATAGCACGTCTATGTGGGCTCCTGCACGGCTCTAGACTTCCAACGCTGTGCCGCCCACATGAACGCGCTGCATATTGATTGATCGACTTTGTCGCCACATTCCCGACACGGCGGAAATGTGGCGGCAAAGTCGATCGATCGACGTTGGAACGCCGTTGGAATGGTGCTGGCACGCGAACAGCTATGAACGCACTTCAATGGCGTGAAACCTACCATATTGCTTTGCCAGTATGGTGCGATGCTTGGCGGAAGTACCAGGTATCCTATGTCCACTCCTAAGATCGCTATGAACCAGGAAAGCACAAAAATGAGCAGGACGACTTTTAATCGGCGTACGACCCGTCGTCGTTGGTGCAGCATTTTGTTCTTTTTCACTGAAACAAATGAATTTATCCCAGCGAAAAAAAAAGCTAAATTGAATAACTTACTTCTGATCGTAAGAGTGAATATAATTGCCATATAAACTATAACAACTATACAATTGATGACGAGATTAGAGAGTGACCAGAATCGGCTGACGCGTGGTGCAAGACCTAAAAATTGATAATTTGACAAAATTTGCAAAAAATGGGCTGTAATCCGTTTACAGTTTTCGTCTAGGCGGAGCTTCGCGTGATACGGCTCGGTGCGTGCGCATGCGCGTGCAAATTCGCAAATCAGTGTTATTGATTTTAACAGCATAAATATCTTTGCGAGCCCATATTACACCGAAATCTATGATCAGATGCAGATGTTAGAATTCGCAGTTTTGCTGGTAATGACCACGCGTACGTGTGCGAAGCGTGCGTAGCTCCGCCCAGCATGAAACTTGAAATGGACTTCAATTGAACAGGTCTTGTACACTCACCCAATGGTGGATTACAGTAAGCGATAATTTCATCATTTTGTGCTTCCCATCCCCATATTGCTACGCTAAATGAGTATATAGATGCCAGGGCGCATACTCCGACAACATAAGGTCCGGTAGGGAATTTTCTGTGCCTAAAATCAGAGAATACAAGCGCTGCACTCTAACGCTTTTGCTAAGGGACTCACCATAAGGGGAAGATTAAGGAAATCAATAAATCTAGTGAGATCATCAAAATCATCATGGCTTGTTGACAAACAACCAGCATATACAGGGCTATGTATGGATAGCATGTTTTTCTGACGATCACTTCACCAGAAATGATGAAAGCTGCATTAAACAGCTCTGATAGTAGACAAATACTATGGAAAACGGCATTGATGCCAATAAGCATTCCTGAAAAATTGAAAAATCACAAAAGATCAAAAATTCGGCTAAAAAGTGTATTACCTGGCTTCGTATGAGTAGATTTCTTGCGAATGCTGGTCCATATCAGATGTGTATTGCCGAAATTTCCAATAATGTTGAAAATAATGATTTCTACGACAACGAAATATCTATAGTTTTGGTAGTCGTGGTAGCTGTCGTCCATATTACGAATCCTAGCTAGAAATCTGAAAAAAAACAATTTTTATCAAGCAATCATTCACAATGCGATCTCGAAGCGATATGCAAAGAGAATCGTTTTGAGACCAGAAAACACAGTAGATGCCAAGAATACCATCAGATTACTGTATCTCCATTTATTTTTTTTACAGCTGGGCCAATTTCTAAATTGTTATGCATCTGTTTATCTATTTATGAAGAATAGGTGATTTAAAGCCTTATGTTATGTGATTGAGGGTTTCTCGGAGATAGTGGAGTACAATTACCCTATTTTCAGGTGTATAAGCCGCACCCTTTTCGCTCTAAAGGCGAACACTCCAAAAGACTGACTGTCATCATGGAGCGCGTTAAGTGAGAGCAGTATGCGACAAGGCGACCGCTTCGCGAGACATATGCGCGGCGGCACGCCTGGGTCTGCTCGCGTCTAGAGCAAAAAGGGTGCGGCTTATACACCTGAAAATAGGGTACAAGGACCACTAGCAGACGAATAAATGGTTAACGTATAACAGGAATTTTTTTGTAGAACAAAGGGTATTGATTGCAGGTTCAAAAAATGAGATCTAGAAGATTTTAAAAATCAAAAAAGAACAGCCATTTTACTCCTTATTTCAGTGAACGAAAGTACGCTTATATTTCGTCTAGCAAGTTTTGACCCAAAATTCTTTGAAGCCGGGATTAACCTATGGCCCATGGGCAGTTTTTATCTTATGCTTTCCCGCCACCTTCTTTGATCCTTTAATCAGCCTCATTCGTATGCGGTCTCATGCCATTATCCTTGTAGCGGCGGTGTTCAACCTTTCGCACTTCCGGGTTCAAGCTCTACTAAAAAAATTAATTATTTAGATTAATGGACATAGCTAGGAAATGGCTGTTTATATTATTGGACAAGGCTAAAAGAGAATGTAGAAAATTACCAATGTATTTGTTGCAAAATTTTTTCAAACATGAAATTCTCAATGAATGAAATCCCAGCCAGAGGAAAGTTTGATGTACCCAGAACCAACAGAGAGTGAGCGCTCAGCCATGAAAGAGACTCACTCTTTAGCAGAACCAAAGGGATATATAAGGGATTATAATGTATACGAGTATGCTATGTACCATGCTATGTGCTAGTGCTTCTTTTGACAAAGACTGCAAAAAAGGAGATACGAACGTCAGAACAAGCGTTGCATGTGGGATATGCTTAGAAAAAGGGATTTATAATGTTTAAAATAGAACGATGAGCGGATTGAAATGCTATACGTTGTGAAAATGATTATGACAACTGCAGAATGCAAACGATGAGGCATAGATGGAAATGCTATGCCATTTAGAAAGGATTATTACAACTGCAGATTGTAAGATAAGAAATAGTAGAAAATAACAGGTGTTATCTGAACTTTGCACTATTTGCACATCAGATTAATGTTTGAAATAAAATCAGCAAACTCAAGAATATCTTGTGAAATCACATATTGGCGGTAGCTATCGTCATAAGAAAATGGTTGTTTCTATAAATAATGATGTTGTATGGAATACTATCGTCTTCTGTTTCAAATTTGCCCATTAATCTTCTTCTATACTTCGAAACCTATAAATAAAATGATAAGAGTGAGAATCATAGCAAAAATTTATGGAAGAAATAATAGAGTTTTGATACCGCGAAAGTAATACCACTGCTATGTTAGAATACTAGAAAACTTTAACTATTCCTGTTTGAAAGTTGCAGCTTTACGGCATTTACTGCTGAGGTAAATTCGCAATAATGATTCACGTCGAGTAATTATTTGAATTTTTTGAAATACGTGACAGATATAAAAATAATGGCACTGAGTTTGAAGTTTATTAACGATATGGAAAGGTTTGGCCAAGTAAGAGCTGTGATATTTGCTTATAAAGGAGTTTAAGGGAACTTCAAACAATAAGCGTCATGAGATTGCGTACTTCTGGTTCTCAAATTTCACTGCCGTAATAATTAGTCCGAATATCTAGTCATAGACCAAGAGCTCAGCTAAGAATAATCTCATTTCCTATTCATAACAGCTGCAAATTCAAATACAAGCGTCCAACGAGCAGATTTAAGTGACAAGTAAGCATGAAAAGCATGCCATTTACATTTTATTTCTAGACTTACGTAAATGATGTGAATCCCGCCGAAAAGCTGCTCAACGGGTTTTTCCCGGGTGATGTAACTCTCATGACTAGCATCCATGTGCAGATATGGCTTCACATACGTCGCTAAGCACTGGTCAGTAATTTTGTGCAGGTGAAAGTAGGGTAATTTCCCGAAATGAGTCTGCTTCTCTCAACTGTCTGTTTTTAGCACGAAACGGAAAAGCGGAGCCAGTAGTAAACAAGTGGAATGGAAGCTAGTAGCAGGTGCATATCAGAAATCATGTCTGCTGATTGAGGGGGATCCCTGATTTTACTGGATGATCACCTGCTTAATAGTAAAGCCCGTTAAAGACACAAGATTACGGTAATTTTGGCTTGGAATTTTACTCTGAAGAAAAATTTTCTACTTTCACTTACATGCCAATAGAACTAAAGAATGAGATACTCAGTTTAAAAACATAGTATGAATGCCTTATTTCTGAGGATCTGTGCCCTAAAATAAAAAAATGCTTTTTCACGTGGAAGCATCAAGCAAAATCTGTTTGGCTGCAGATTCGGGGTTAACTTTTTACAGAATGTATTAGAAGTTTTGAGTAGAATCTGACATGAAGATTCACAACCATATCGTCGAGTCAATCGTCACTCAAAAGCGTCAAGCAGCGCGCATGGTGTATTGCACACCATGCGCGCTACTTGACGACTTCTAGGGTTAGATTCTGCTCATTTCGGTCATTTTTTTCCTTGTCTCCTGATTTGATTGAATATGTTTTAACTGGTAGTACACGTTTCTGCAGTTTATAATACTAGGAAAGGTCACACGGAGTACTGCTAGTAAGGATGTCGTCGATTGCTGAGCACATTGTGCACGCACACATACTAAGTCACAATTGATTTGAGATAAATGAAAACTGATTCATCGCATCTATTCAAAATGGACGTTGGAAAGCAATTGAGAGAACAACAGATATTTTTTGCGAAATGAGAAGGCTAAACATGTTTTTGAAATTCAGTTGATTTCGTGGGTAAAAAAGGCAGGAACATGTTACTGATTGAGGAAAGAAGGAGTGATTGGCATAAGGAGCCAGACATACTTCACGCGATTTTAGGCGCCTCGCTTTGGCAGCTTGCCATATGTATTCAGCCTTGCAAACTACAAATGCAATGCGGGTTTGACTTGTAGATTAATAGTATGATCCATCTTCTGAAGAGTCAGAATGCGCTTACACAGTTAGAGCATTGCTAATACGCGCGACTAAAATCGCCTGAAGTATGCCAGTGGCTGAAGAAAGGAGGTGGTACTACATGCCTTCATTTAGCATCTGCTAGACTACACGTAGACGAAAGCAGGTGATACCTTGAGAATGGAGTCTGCAGATCATGCTTTTGCCCTTATATATGCGCTATCCAATTACTAATGCACTGGCTTTTTACTGTGTGAAGGCGGCGTATTGTAAAGAAAAACAATGAAATTAGTAATCAGATCCCTTTGATGGCTTTTTTATCACGTCGGAGAAGACTTCCTCTAAGCCTCTAAGGGCTTCCCAAATCGTGATTCAGTAAGCTGAAACCATGCAAAAAATAGTCTGGACGCATAACGAGAATAAAAATCGCGGACGGTATAGGTATAAAATTCGGCTAGTTCAAATTGACGGCCGCACAAAACTGTATAGAACTGTATAGAGTATGTATGTTAATTTCTGTTACACTTTCTCTTTTCAATTCGAAAAATCCAAAGGCTTCCTGAAAATTCAAAATTGTTTAAAATGTAGTGCACGACAAGGCCTACAAATAAGCATGAAATAGCCAGAAAATTTACGACAGTTTTAAAAACACCAGAATTTTTTTCAATTTTTCTCTCTGCGTTCAAGTGTGTTTTTTCTCTTCTCTAATTTTTTCAATGCATTCTCGCATCACTTCTTTTATGGCAGTACTCCAGTTCCGCTAGCCAGAAGCGAAGTTTGAAGAACACATTCAAGAATTAAAACGTTTGTCAAAAATTTTTCTTTTTGTGCGCGTCGTGTAGAATTTGATAGCATAAAAAATTGCACATTATAGATAAAAAGAATAACAAAAAACATAATTTTATTTGTTTTAGTTTTAACACATGTATCATGAATTTGTAAAATTTCGAGCAGCAAAACAATAATTCGGACCATTCCCTTAGGCCTAAGGTATACCTCACGCAATTCGGTCAAATCGCCATTTTTACGCGATTTGGCGATTTGCCAGATTTCTACAAATTTATCGCGTGCGCTTCTCGGACGCATATTTGGGTAGCTTGCGTAAGCTGTTGCAAACGGAGCAAGTTCTGACCAAAGGCAGCGCATTAACGACGAATTACGAAGAGTCGCTTTTGTGCCGAATCGCGCGAGGTATGCCTTAGGCCTTATTATGATAAAATTGTTGCACACCATCTGTACATAATAATTACTAGCTTCGAACACTTCGCATATATGCTCTGAGTCTCTAATGCGTTGATGCACTTCTGTCATTTAAGCATTCCTTTTCTTCCTTTTTCTTTCACTCAACAACACGATTGTTTATACAGACGTTGGGTGAATATAAGGAGCATTCTGCGCAGAAAAAATTCACAGTAAACTTCAAAATATCAAACGCCAAAGCATCGAGTATGGATAGCTATTCCTAATCAGCCTGAGCTCGAAGGTGCTCATCTGGATACTCATGACAATGGAGAGCGGAAAAACAAGGAAGTTGGGCACGTTAGCGTGAAAAATGGTGATTAGATTGCAAAAATATTCCAAAGCAGCCCTGTTATGGAACAGAGTCAGGAACGGGAAGATTAAAAAGGCGGGGCAAAAGAAGATAACCTGAGAATTCTCAAGATAATTCGTATAAATCAACGTCTGCGGAAGAAGATGAGGAGGTGGAAAAAAACGCC